ATCAGTTAATTAATGAATTTGTGAAAAAATTTCAAGATCTAGATCCAACTGCAATTGTGTTAGCTAGAGAAAAAAGCACTTTGACAGAAGTAGCTTTGTTCTTGGATAACTTAAGGAGAGAAACCAATAATGAAGGGGTTAAAATGACTTGTGGATTTAGGCAGAGAAAGAAGTGCAGATGTTACAGCCCCCGTCCCCCTCCTTCTTCTTCTTCTAGGACAGAGTGTAGAGTGATACAGACAGCTGAGCCCCTCCCAATTTATTCAACTAGAAATTGTAGAGTTAATCAAGGACAGAATATAACTCCCAAAGTTATTTGTTTTTGGTGCAATAAACAACATTATTTAAGATCTTGCAGATATTTTATCCGAGATATCAAATCAAAAGCAAATGAGAAATTAAATTTGTTGATTGAAAATTTTGACAGAGAAAATACATGTGGAGATAAATCAATTAAAGCCTTTACTTGTAAACTTATAATCAGACAAATAAAAGCAATTTTAGCTAAATCGAAATTAGGAGACAGACAAGCAATGCAGCGTAACACAGAAAGTTATAAGAATCAGATAACTTCAAGAGATATGATCAGTTTAGGGAATGAGCATGGATATGTCTGCCAACAGAGGTACACAGGCTGATTCCAGAATTAAGAACAGCCAAGAATAGAGTTCTATGTTAGTTTGTTTTAATGAAATGTTAGTCTGAACTGTTTTTTTTCATTGTTTTATATGTATTTTAAGAAAGTATTAGGTTAATTAATTAAAATAAAAATGTACATCAAGTTTGCAAATATGGCAGAATGAAATACACTAATGTAGCAGTGAGGAACATGCAATGTATGTTATATTGGGTGTATGCAATTATACAGTAACTCCAATCATTTTACAGAAGGTAAAAACAATGTTGTTACTTCTGAGGTTGATTTAAAATCTTTGATTTAATTAATGAGAATGAGATTTTAATATCATGACTGATAATGGATTACTGTATATTGCAACGCCTGGACATACACATGGTTTGGATATACTGAAGACAAAAGGAATAATATATGGGAATGGATAAGGCTGATTTCCCCCTATCCACAGCCACGCCTACTCCTAAAGTAACATCGTGTACATCCTTACTATGCCCTTTTACTGTAGAATTTCCCGAATCCTAATGACCCATTCCACTACATGGTGTGACTTGTTTAAGCCTAAGATAAATTGGCTGATCAGGCTACCTGTATTAACAATGTCATCAACGATGAGTTAGCATCTGTGGAGAAGCATCACTTCAGGTTGTCCCAAATTTTCTTTTAACTTAAGTTTTAGTACATAGTAAGGCCCATGCCCAATAACTATATGCAGCCTTGTATAGCAGGCCACATGACATCTATTTGTACCAAGCAAGGCCTGCCTGACTCCTCATTCCTGTCTAACATTGTTGTCTCCTGCATAAGTGTAGATGGCTCTCCTTGGAGTAGCCTGTTAACTAAGCCTTGCTTTGTGGATACCTTCACCTGTCCAATTAATCTGCTAGGTGCAGATGTCCTTCCCCCACTTGCAGGCCCCTATCACCTTATTATTTATTTTGTTCCACACAGTGAAACCTGACCAAGAGGCAAGGGTCCTAGCTAGTTCCCCCAATACCTTTACCTGAATTATACAGGCCCCAAAGCCTGTCCAAGCTCTTACTATTCCCTAACAGGTTAAGGCTCTGGTGTCGAATGTTGCCCTGGTTACCTGAGACTTTCCATGCAATATCCCACCTCTCCTTGTGATGGACGAATTCTGTGCAGGATAATGTCACCCTGCAGGGATGATACTCTATTTACTGAACTCAGAGGAAGCATGTGGCAGCTCTCTGGCTGACTAAGTTGTTCAAAAAGTTGTAAGTGCACTAAGGGAAGTGGACAGAAAAGTGTCTGCTGAAGAAACTCCCATATTCACCATGTAAGATCCTACCCACAGACATCAAGCTCCCGAAGGAATAACAAGCAAGCTACTGACCCTGGAAAGAAAGAAAAAACAAACAAACCACAAGCTGGAAACAGAAAGGGGCAACTCTTAAAGACAGGCTGTACTTCAACAATCTCAAGTTCTACTTGCCCAAGAACATATACTCAGCAGTGGTCCAGTGGGCCTACGGAGCATCTGTCCAGAACCCTCATGAACTCTTTTGATCAATAAATACTCTGAAGTATCAGGAATTGCCTCTCTGACCAACAGTTACTGTAAATCTTGTGCCATTTGTGCCAAGGGCAACTCAAGAAGAATGGATGAAAGCCCCAAGCATCTAGCCAAACCTCATTATCTCTTCCAGAGGAGTCAAGTCGCCAGAATGCCAAAGAATGGCTGATTCAAATATGCACTAATTATAGCAGACATGTTTTCAGGATGGCCAGAGGCCTATCCAGCCACCAAAGTGATAACCAAGACCACATGCTGAGTAGTGCACCGTGAAAGATACAGAGATCACCCCGTGGGTTCATCATTCCAGAATCAAGCCTGCCTCTGCATCATGTGAAGTAACATTTGTTGATCTTGACAACCCTTTTTGAAACTCCATTCTTAGAGAACAAAGATACTTGTTGAAAATAAATAAATAAATATCAACAAGTGGGTGTTTTGATGGCCATAATAATGCCTGACCACCTGCCATCGATGGAAAGCTGAATACCCCAAAAGGGGACCTCGTGAAACTAAAGAGAAACAAACATACTCCTTACCCTGCAGCCCTCACGTCTGAGGTGCCATACGCACAGTCAAAGCTTCTTCAAGATCATCTGCTTATCTTGAGTTTGTGGTGATATTAATATTGAATGTTTAAATGATCTGAATCTGCCAGTACTAGGGTAGCATGAGACAAGATTTCTAAGAATAAGTAAATGTGCCCTAGCCTAGGTTATTATGTCCATACACATAACACATGACAATCCCCAAGGTACTCTTGACACACCTCATTCATGCTTCAGGACAAAAAGGAGTACCCCTATAAAGGGTGGTTTTACCCACACATACATATATATGTATATTAATGCCATAGGGGTGTCAAGGGGGGTACCAAATAATTTTAAGGTAAGAAACTAAGTTTGAATCTATTCTCCCAAGCATTACGGCTAATAAAATCTGAATTGGAAGGGAAGAGGTTTATACAATAAACAGGAGACCTTTTTCTTACAGGACATGTATGACTCAGCTGAATGGGTAGGTGCCACGCACATGACTGTTAATCCCCTCAAACCACACATTAGGACTTTAAAAGACATGGTAGTCATCCCATATTTGAGGATAAGAGGGCTGTAGAGACAGGTTTCTCTGACACTAACTTGTGACTTGAATGGATGAAATACAATGCTACTAAACATAACAAGTCTAACTGCTATGTCTGCAGAGGAGCGAGGCCTCACCCAGGTACAGTATCCCTGAACCTTCCTCCGGATATGAAGTATGCGTTTTAAGTCTCTACACTGTATTTAAACCTAAGCGGTCAGCATGCGAGTCATGGAAACTTAATACCCAATCATTACTAAAAATATTAACCCAGACGAAGGCATTACTATATAGCCCGGGAACTATACTTGTTATGGGATATATGGTGGGATAGGGCGGTTACAAACTATCTCTCAGATGACCTTCCAGAATAGAATAAGCTTGGAAATGATTTTAGCAGAAAAAGGGAGAGTATGTAAAATACTCCCAGACACCATGACATGCTGTACCTATATTCCAGATAATACAGGCCCTAATGGTAAGGTAACGTTGGCAATAGAAAAGTTAAAGAGTTTGTCCAATGAACTGAAACGAAATTCTGGGGCCACAGATCCATGGGAAAGATGGTTTGGATGGATGTCTGAATGGCAAGGTGCTCTGGCCCAAATAGGTGTTGCCATTTTAATAACGATAATCATCCTCGCTCTTCTTGTTTGTTGTGTGTTACCCTGTCTTAAGAAATGCCTACAAAAAACAGTTGATCAGGCAATCGACCAGACCACCCCGACCTTCCTTCACCAAGAGATTGACGATATCGACCGTGATACACCACATACACCCTTACAGTCCCACCGCACTAAATCAACAGCTACTTCCTCTTAAGGACATTTAGGGATAGCGTCTGTCTCTACGGGCAGAAGTCTGCCGCGGGAGAAGTAGTGGACAAGCTGCTATGGGGTACCCGCGCAGTGAAGTGTTCGAGGCCTGTTCAGACAGATGTGCAAGATAGCCTTTTGTTATTTTTCTATAGGGACAGTATTAGAATGAGAGATAGTAGTTTTAGTAAAAATTGCCATTTTAAGGGGGACTGTTATGGACAGATGAATTAAAATAAAATGGCTATTTACTAATGTCTATTTATTCTCTGTTCACTATGTTAAAACTGGCTTCTAGAGTAAATGTTCCCTTCCCCCCCCTTACAATGTGGTCAGCTGCTGTTTACTATGTAAATTCCTCACATCCTGCTAGCCTCCCCTTTGTGCCAGTTAACAGCTATATGCCATATATAGCTAAATGGAGGATCATTGGTTTAGAACTGATAGATACCACTCACTCCCCCTTTCTCCGTGTATCTAAAAGTGTGTAATGATGACACTACATTCTGTAGGGGGGTTTAAACAAGAGGCCCCTTTCTCTGTTAACCAATTGGTGAATGTATACTGTATGTTTAAACTGTGACGTATTTTTGCTTTAAGAAGGAGCCCCCACTCCGGGCAATAAAGCATTCCTGGGTTTTTCACTGATCAGAAACTTTGTCTCCGGTGTGAATTACTTCTAGGGAAAGCGTGCACGCATTAATTAATCAATTTGGAAGGTGTAGATAGACAAATAATCAAAGTTTTCTTTGATCCAAAACACCCATATGCAAGATGGCTGAGGAAATTGACCTCACAAGAAGCTAAATCCGGATTGGAGGATGGGGTGGGAGGACCGCCCACTGGATGAAGAAACCGGCATATTTAAAAAGCAGCATGAAGACAATGAGGATACCGAGTGAAAAAGCCCCCATAGTGTGGGTGAAACGCATCTCGGGACTGGAGCTAATTACTGGGACATTCTTTATCGTTACTAGGAAGTCACTAGGAAGTCTCCCTTTCTCTCTCCTTTGAGGAAATCCAATCCAGGCAAAAGGGGACAGTGTCTCCATACGACACTACTGTGCAAGTGATTTGAGCCTGTCCCTTTTGAGGCTCTGATCAATGTGAGTTTGACTACTTGCATTATCACCAAAATACATTATCACCTGTGGATTTAAACTATACTGTGTTTTATTTTTTGTTTCCTTTATATGTACTGATATACATCTGAGATTTAACCCTGTTTTAGGGTAAGTTTATACCTTTATCGCTCCACTCATTTGATTAGTAGAGTCTGGACGTAATATCCAGATGGTACTAAGCTCACTTTGGTTCAGAAGCGTCTAATAGTGTGCTTACAGCACAGTTGTAAAACTTAAAAATTTTTGAGTGCTAAACTGCTAAATAGTATTTTAGTGGGGTGCACTTCATATCTGAGAGTCAAATAGAAGCGTCTAATAGTGTGCTTACAGTGCAGTGGTAAACATTCTTATTTTCTGGGTGCTAATCTGCTAAATAGTACATTTTGGGGCCTGTTCTTCATATATACAAGTCATGCTACTAGAAAATTAAACAAGTTTTAAAATATGTATGGGCCAACCAGTGGCTGTAAAAACTGTTACATTCATGACTACACACTCTAGTGAACAGGACCTTCGTGTAGTGTGTTCCTTTTTTAAAAAATCTTACAGCATCCTTTCATGTGCTTTTCAGATGTCATATTGTGAATTACCATTTTTTGTGTAGCCTGATTTTTTTTAAAAAGTGAAAAATAAGTGTTATTGTGATCGCTTCATATACAGAAGCATTAATATACATTTCTATATTGT